TTTCAAGAAACCAAAGAAACTATAATTATGAATAAACAAATCATAATTGTATTTGTTGTGATATTTTATAATTTTTGTTTTTTGTTTTTTTTTACCTTGCAGTGTATTGATTATTTGAAGTAAATGTACACTCACCCATGTTTTGGTATTACAAATCCTGTCGTAAGAAGACACTGATCTTGTACCTTACTATTGTACTTAACTCTGCTTTTCATTTTATATGGACTGGCTGTCTTTATCTCTTAAAGATAACCTAGGAGTTAATTTCAAGGATGCCAAGTTTTACTATATGTTTCGATTATGACACCGATCCCAAATGAATTGACCTGGAAGACCTGGTCCAGTTCATTTAAGGCATAGTCTATGTAATTGGGTGATACTTCGGATTTTGATGAAATTATGTATGCATTTAAATCTCGTTAACCCTGTGTATCATATCCACTGGATATAGGTACACTTGGCCTGGTTCTCTGTTCATTGTCTAAGAAAAACAACATTACAGTACAAATACCAGCGTATAGCTACCTGGGTACCTATATGTTGGTATATGAACAGTAATGTAGTTATTGTTTAAACTGCATCTGAATGTCGAAAAAAATATTCCTATAGCGTTTATACTTTGCAATGATACAGTCAATTGAAAATGTGATAAAGCTCTATAAATGTATAGAATGTATGTAAAAAACATCGAAAAATGTGCATTTTTTTCAATTTAAATTGGAATTCTTCGTAATTTATATGTTATTGCTGTTAACATTATCGTTTTGACAATAAGAAAATATAAGGGGGTCACCGGATTCGTTTTTGCTGTATATACGTATTGTATGAAAAACATGAAAAAATACAATTGTCTATAATGTGGTTTTGATCCTATTTTCACGGTACATATCGAGGCTTATGGATTCTGCTGACTTAGAACGTTTTAATAGCTTTAGTTTTGTATTAAAAAAACACCCTATTTGACCTGACCTGGCATTAACATTGAAAGGTCGTTGGACTTTTTATCTGCACTCAGTTAACGCCAGTTATTACCTGTTCAGGTAATACAAATCTGGATAATTTCACGCAAGAATTCAAAGGCTAAATTATAGTATAGGTTTTAGAGATTTGTCATTCGAGGTTCGCCTTTCCGACAGTACAGTATCGTTTCCCACCCACCCACCCATTACTCCAGAAGAAAGTTCATGTTATGTAGTAAATAGTATATGATGAAAAGATTTTGTTGTTAAATTTATAGAATACTTCTTCTATTGTAGATGGTGTTTAAAATTACAACATACGGATTTAACCAATAGACATATGTCTATACAATATTTCGACTCTTTTAATTCTGAAAAGAGTCTTATAAAATTGTGAGTAAATCTGTCACAGAATATTTTTCATGTCGGGGCCTTTTATAGCCGACTATATGGTATGGGTTTTTCTCATTGTCGAAGGCCGTACGGTTGCCTATAATTGCTTACATCCACTTCATTTTAACTTTGGTGGATAGTTGTCTCATTGGCAATCATACCACATCTTATTTTTTATATCAAATATCTGCCATTAACACCAATATTGCTAAGGAATGGAAAACATTTAAGATATAACTATTCGGAAATAAATAAAAGATCGTTGTAATCGTTCGGAATTTTCAATTTGATGATATCCAACATTTTTTCATTGATTTTTTAACTAACATCAGTTCATATGATTATATAAGATTTTAGACGATAGGTGATCTTATTGGCGAGGTAATAAATGGGGGTATGAATGTTGGAAAATAAAGTCTAAGAGGCTCCCCTAGAATCATAAATTAAAAAAAATTCGTGCATAAGAAAAATAAAGAAATTAAATTTTGACTCGCTACGCTCTGTGGATTTATTATGGTCGCGCCTCCTTCACCTGAAATCCTGGATCTACACTTGCTATCCATATGCGTTGGAGAATAGTTTTATATATACCTTGCCTATAGATTATACATATTTTCTCTCTAACATATGAGATGTTGGGGGTGATTTTGTATACATCAAAACTAAGTATTGTGTATAGTATTGAGTTAATTATGCCTGTGATTTGTGGTCTGTAGAATTCCCCATTCTTTAAATCACTTTACAACACGTATAGCTGTGTTGGCTTAGAGAATACTACTTACCAGAATGGTACTAGTTAACCACAAATATTATAATATCTCAGGCCAAGCCATAGTCAAATCTAACTGAGGTAGAACTACAGCAATTAAGGATAATAGACAAGCAGCCAAGATGTGCATAATGAAATATAGGTTTCCGAAAGAAAAAAAATCACAAAATAGTAAGAACTGAATTTTTGTCCCATTGTCTGCTATATTGTGTCTATATAGAAATCTATAGAAAAAGACCAACCAGCAAATGTAATATGTATCGGATAGTCTAAAATAGGCGATACTGATGAGAAAAAATATCAAAGTCTTAAAATTTGAACAACGATACTAATACAAGATGGTAATATCCGAAGAGGATGCTATAAAATCGTGTTGACAAATATTTCAACTGAACAAATAGCCTTCGTCAGTTGTTTTTTTTTGGTTGTTTTTTTTTTTATCAAATTTCATATTTCCGCAGGAGAACATAATTTATTGATACCATAGGGTCGTGTCGACAGGTAAGGCATGCAGCTCGCTATTGTCTTTGTGCAATTCTAAATGAAGCATCTATCCCATTGTAGAAATGAACGTAGACGATAACTGGCTATATATTTGACCTGTAGACATGTCAAGGAATAGACCAATGTCCTTCGTTAAATGTTGCTAATTGGTTTTTTCGATTCTGACTTTCAATTTATTCATGTTACGTGCTAAGATTTTTTGGCAATTCAATTTCAAGTAAAGACCATGTCAATAAGTTTTTTTTATAGCAGTATTCATATTTGCCCCAAAACAAATTTGAAGGGGAAATTTCTCATAAAGACATACGACAAAGCGGTTCTAGGGGTCGTATTAAACTTGCAGTGAGGTGAGAGTTTGTTTGCTCCGTGTTGAAGACCGCACTTTGACTTTGAGATAAAGAACAGCAATAAAAGCGTTGTTCATTTGCTTTTTGTGTTTTTTGCTGTGCATATGTTGATTTTGTGTCATGGATGGATCATGGATACCACATATCCTTTTTTTATTATTATAAATCATAAACATGTCATTGTAATGGTAAAAATGAAAGTTTCGTGTTGTAAATTCAATATATATTTTATCCCTCTCTGACTGTCGCAGCTTTTGATTCTGTGCGCTGATGATGAAGGACCAACTGTCCACGTATTTATCCATCTCTGATTGTCGCACTTTTGATTCTGAGCGTTAGAGATAAAGATTCAACGCACTACGTATACATTCTTCTCTGGCTGTCGCAACGTTTTGGCTCGGAGTGTAAGAAGTGAGGATACAGATCTCCACTTAATTATCTCTGTTTAGCTGCCCCAGCTTTGGTTCTGAGCGCTGCGCGGTGATGAAGGTATAGCCCTCTACTTATTCTGTACATTGTTCATTTCTGTAATCAGTATTGTTTTACCTAATTCTTTTATTTTCCACAGTTATTCTTTATATACTTCAGCACCCAATTATTTTCTATTCTTTATTTGTTTTGCTCATTTTTCTCTATTCATTATTTTTTTTTTGGCATTCTATTCTGTAAACCGCATCCATACCCTCTACTTATAGCAGCTAAGCTGCGGGCCTTGTAAGAACTAGAAATAAATCATCTTGCTTAGAACATAATGAAAAGGAATACAAGTAATATGCCAAATGATCAAGATCTTAAAAGGATATCGGCCAGTACTGTTATTGTTTGATTAAATGATGGCTTAGATGAACTACTTTTCCAGAAAAATATTGCTCATTCCGGCATCTGTATATGTGGACAAATTGAGAGCAGCAAACACTAACCGGTAGAATGTCATAATTTTAGACTCACAAGGGAACACACCATTTCAACACTAACAAGAAATGTTAATATACAAACATATGCGAACTCCTTAGTGATGAGGAAAACGAAATATGTTTGAAGTTGTACAAAGTTTTATTTTTGGAAACCTGAGGGGGATTTGGTTTATCATGAAATTTGATCAAATTTTGTGGAACATATACATATCATATTCATAGCTAAGACATGGAAATACACCTTATCGCTAATCCCGCTTGACCCGAGAATCTGTCCCGCTCGAACTTTTGACGTCATACAACAATCACTTTTCCATTGTGGCGTCAGACATTTGGTATTATGACGTCAAAATTTGACGGAAACCTGTGTGATGTCCAGTAATGGCGGATAAATAGCGATAAGAAAAAGGGTGAAGGTTTGGTACCATTAAAACGTTTAAACCCGCTGCATTTTTTTGCACCTGTCCTAAGTCAGGAATCTGATGTTCAGTAGTTGTCGTTTGTTGATGTGGTTCATAAGTGTTTCTCGTTTCTCGTTTTTTATATAGATTAGACCGTTGGTTTTCCCGTTTGAATGGTTTTACACTAGTAATTTTTTGGGGCCCTTTATAGCTTGCTGTTCGGTGTGAGCCAAGGCTCCGTGTTGAAGACCGTACTGTGACCTATAATGGTTTGCTTTTATAAATTTTGACTTGGATGGAGAGTTGTCTCATCGACATTGGCACTCATACCACATCTTCTTATATCTATATAAGGTGTATGAGTTGATCACATCTTTCGATCAAACTGACTTCTGAGTAACGGGCAAACCACAGAATAAACATGTAATGTAAGTTGAAAATTATAGGCGGGTTTCTTTACACTTCCAAAGCCGGGTTATCACATTGTTAAGGGAGACGGATTTTAATAAGTTCTTCTTGTTTCCGAACCCCTGTATTTCTATTGTATAATTGTAATTCGTGCACTTTTGAAAAAAAATATTGTTTACACTAAATAAGAATGATTTCAGGTTGAACTATTTTATTTGTATATTAAGAACGGCCAAGAACGTTGCTGTGCTTTGTTTTTAGAACTTTAAAACGTTCCTTGTGTGTATCAAAAGTTGCTCTCCCAAAAGGAGGAAACATAAGTACTACATCCGTTTTCGTCTAAAAATGTCAAATTAGAAAAGTCTAAACTGATAGCAGTATTTTACGTCTTGTTTTCGATGAATGCAATCAAATCATTGTTACAGAATGTTGTGAAAGCTACACCGCATTCTTATGAAACTGTTCAAAGTTCACAAGAACTGTCCATTGGCTTAGAAAATAAGGACGACAAACCAGACGTTGCATCTTCTAATGATACTGGGAAAACAAAATGCTTACCGGTGTTACCAGTTATCGACCAAGAATGTAAACAACTTCAGGAAACCATATTTGGTAAATTCTATAACTTGGAGGGCATATGCTAGTTCATGTACTCGTTGACCCGGGCTCCTTTTTAAACTTGTAAAATCTTGGTATCAGTTAGTCCAAATAATTACAAATGTATGACGTCTTGAAAGGTAATTTAAGAACTCATTCTTCGTTAAGACTGTGATTCATTGGCACCAACTGGAAGAAGATATAGTGTGCGCCAAGTCAGTTGAGAGCTTCAAAACAGCTCTCCAAGGCCGTCAATAGGTGCTCTCTCGCCCGTCAAGTTAAAGCCAGAATTGGTACCTTCGGAGTAACGATACAGATACAGAAGGCTATTTTATTTTTTTGATTGAAGCCTTTGCAGGAAGGCATCAAAACAAAAAATTTAAAAAGCATTTCAAGACGTCATAATTATTTGGACTAGCTAGGTTGAAATATTTAAGAAGTTTTAATTTGCTAAAATTAAATTGAAACACAAAAATAACAAAATAAAAAAGAGTTCAATGACATAACTGCATATGCGAAGAACAGTTAATTTCTTGTTAAACGGTTCATTTAGATAGTTTAAGTTATTTTCGGTGTCAACATATTGTGTTTCGTGAGGAAAAGTCAATCATGACCCGTCACCATGCAAATATGCTTTTACTATAATTATTTTAACTCTTGAGTAAAATATTTAATTTATTTCATTAATCATTAATCATTTAACAATTATTATCAAATGATTATATACATTTTGTACTGGTAAGTCAAATTTCATTTTTAAATCTTCTTAATTTATGACATTATGCGTATGGTCTAAATACTCATATGGTCCGAAACATATCAGGCCTCTACAATAACATTTTTTTTCAACTTGCCCAATAGGACAAGTACATACCAAAACTTACTTGTCCGAATGGAATTTTAACTTGTCCAAAAAAAAACCTTTATATTAACCTTTTTTGTATTTTAGGTTGATTCAATGAAGAAAATGAATTAAAACAATAGAGCAGAATTTGATTAATATCTCTTGATATCCTTTTCAAAAATATGAGTCGAGAACAACTGAATCTAGTCATGTCACAGGACTTAATTAGGTTCTAGTTTTCATCAATGTCAAAGTCTCTCATCAGACTCTGTACATCAGTCTGGTAGGCCTGTCAGTCTACACTCATTTGGTTTGTATCCTGGTCTTTTATGTTGATAACACAATTAAATGTTGTTTGTCTAAATATGATCAAATATGATTTTCTGATATATGGTCAATAATTTCTTCATTTCTATTTTTCAAATATTTTTATTAAATAAAATTTATCAAATATTTATTATAAAGCAACAGAAAAGCGTAGGAAAAACAAGGTCCTTGTTTGTATTGGTCCCGAAATGTCTCCAACAGTACCGAACTGTCTATTAAACATGGAGCCGATTCGATTCGTTTCCGTGCCGAACTGTCTTGTTACCTTACAAAGATAGCACATTGCTGATTCTGATTGGTAAGAGAATATTCCTTTTATCCTTTTATCCTTATAAAGTATATGACAAAGAACCAGTTTTAAATTATCGATCGCATGTAAACATGCCAAATAAATATTTGTTTTTATCTTCTTTTTTCGTTTTATTGTTTCTTACTTTGATCATCAAAGATGGATTTAACAATAACTTAATTTCTACAGAATGATTTTACTTGTCCCATCGGACAAGCTTGATATGGCTTTTACTTGTCCGACCTTTTTTTCCTCTGGTACCGGACAATCGGACAAGCGTTATTGTCGAGCCCTGCATATATACATGTATCAAAATATTTATATTTTCATGAATAAAAATTCGTTAATTTTTAAAAGGTCCAACTCCCTCTTCAATCCAATTTTAATAGTCCCATAATTGTTTTTGATAAAGAAAGCTATGTGTTTAAAAAAGTTGAAGTAACAAACTATCTTGTTTTAAACATTAATAAAGTAATGAACTTTATATTAATGATACAGTTGTGATTCTACATTGTAACAGGAATTGTGGTTGATGACCCCATTCTCCTAATTACTGCCATCTTTATTAAAAAATTGGAAAACTAAACATCATAAACATGATAAAAGACCCAATTGTTAATACATAATATAAGGCAATTGCTACTTGATGATCTCCCAAAGCTTTTTGGCATGCTTGTTTTACTTACCATCATACTTTTTATACACCGCAAAAAAATTTGCGGTTGTATATTGGTATGACGCTGGCGTCGTCGTCGTCCGAAGACACATTGGTTTCCGCACTCTAACTTTAGTTTAAGTGAATGGATCTCTATGAAATTTTACCATAAGGTTCAATACCACAAAAGGTATGGGATTGATTTTGGGGGTTATGGTACCAACATTTAAGGAATTAGGGGCCAAAAATAAGCATTTTTGTAACTTCCAGACATAACTTGTGTGTTAGTGTATGGATCTCTCTGACATTGTACCACAAGGTTCCATATTACAAAGGGAATGCTGGGATTGATTTTGGGGGTAATTGCCTCAAAATTTTAGGAAAAAGGGGCAAAAACAAGCATTTTTCTAGTTTCATGACAATAACTTGTTTGTAAGTGTATGGATCTTTCTGAAATTGTACTTCAAGGTTCCATATCACAAAGGGAAAGCTGGAATTGAGTTTGGGGGTAATTGCCCAAAACATTTAGGAAAAAGGGGCCAAAAATAAGCATTTTTCTAGTTTCCAGACAATAACTTGTGTTCAAGTGTATGGATCTCTCTGAAATTGTACTGCAAGGTACCATACCACTAAGGGAAGGCTGGGATTGATTTTGGGGGTAATTGCCTCAAAATTTTAGGAATTAGGGGGCAAAAAACAAGCATTTTCTAGTCTCAGGACAATAACTTGTGTGTAAGTGTATGGATCTTTATGAAATTGTACTACAAGGTTCCATATCACAAAGGGAGAGCTGGGTTTGAGTTTGGGGGTAATTGCCCGAAACGTTTAGGAATTTGGGGCCAAAAAGGTGCCAAAAAACAAGCATTTTTCTAGTTTCCAGACAATAACTTGTGTTCAAGTGTATGGATCTCTCTGAAATTGTACTGCAAGGTACCATACCACAAAGGGAAGGTTGTTATTGAGTTTTGGGGTGATGAATCATAAGGGGGTTCAAAAAATTTGGGGGGGGGGGGGGGGAGATTTTTTTTTTCTTTAAAATTTTCCATTTTAAATTGGTTATTTCTGATTTATATATAAAAGCAAAGAATAATGATATGGTTTGAACAGGTAAATTAAAATTTTCTTAGACCACATTCATTCTGTGTCAGAAACCTATGCTGTGTCAAATATTTAATCACAATCCAAATTCAGAGCTGTATCAAGCTTGAATGTTGTGTCCATACTTGCCCCAACTGTTCAGGGTTCGACCTCTGTGGTCGTATCAAGCTGCGCCCCAGCGGAGCATTTTATTGGTAAGTAGATTTACGAATTTGTGGGATAAAAAAAATGTGAGAAATTGTAGGCTCCTTAAATCCCTTATTAGATAATGAACCATCAGCTTTTTATACATAGCCACCAGCTTTACTAAAAATAGAAAATAGGGACCAAAAAATTCCACTCAAAATCTGAAAAATTATGTGAAGGACCTATTATTACATTGTGGAATGATACATGTACATAATCAACGTTAAAATGAATGATTAATCACCCATGATGGCATCAGCTTTTTCTGGGTTCAGAAAAGTTGCACTGTACATGTAGACTAAATTTTAAAACTGTTTCAGGCCTATATTTGTTTTCTATGTCAGATCTCATCCGAGGTATTATAGATCCAGAGAAGCCACAGACTTTAGAAGATTTAGAAGTGGTAAATGAAGAAGATGTATGTGTTTACCGACATGAAGAGGAATTATGGGTCAGACTTATATTTACTCCAACTGTGCCTCACTGCTCACTGGCATCATTGATAGGTGATTATTCAAATATAAAATGACTGAAAATTCATAAAAGATGTCTGCATGTACATGTACCTTCTCATGTTGGTACATGTAGTTCTATTCCTCATTACACATTACGAAGGATAATATTCTATATCAATTTTTCTGTCAAAGTAAAAGAAGCAGAAACAGAAAAGTATGCAAAACATAACAAGGCTTTACATACATGTATTTATAGTAAGCAGTCATGTATGAGAGTTGTTTGTATGTTGTCTGTTGAATTTTGTTGGAAGGAATAAAACTGACAAATAAAGAAAATGCATGCAGTGACAAGAATATAAGACTTTATAAGTCATGTTTATATATATACATGTATGTAATTGTATGTATAAAAGGACTTCAGTTTCTTCAGTTTTTACTCAGTAATTAATATTTTGTCATTTGAATTATTTTCATTCATCTCTGTCAAATTTTAAACCTTCCATTTTTGTTATACATGTATCAGCAATACTCTGGTATTCAAATTAAAATTTTACCTAATAATATATTTCTAAAATAATGCAAAGACATTTGACCTACATTGTATTGATTGAATTGATTCTTGTTTTTTGCACCCAATGGAATGTTGATAACAAATTAACAATAAATACAATAGGTAGGTCCTGCAATAGATGGTCAACCAGGTTGAGGGGCAGGAAATTAGGAATGTCACTTGAAATTGAGGGTATATTGGATAGGGACAGAAATTAAGCCATGCAACAGGCCACCTGTGGATTCTTCAAAGAATTGTTGCAAGCATTTTTTATGTTCAGATAGGGCACTCTCTTTAAAAGGGGCATAAAATTTAACATCCCCATTCTGAAGGGATGTGGCTGCCAATTTCAATATCCCACACAGCCAAAAAGAGGCCCGATACAAGTAGGTCGAAAAACGAGTAATGTGACCATATTTTTATATTTTTTACTTATTGCAAAATCCATTTTTTGGACAGGATATATTTATTTACAAAATTTGAAGAAAAAAGTATTAATGTAAATCAATCAAACAAAAAAACTAAGGGCCTGATTTAGGTACAAATTAAAACAATAAATGAAAAACAAATATGATATACAGTAACAAAGAACATCCACTGAATTACAGTCTCCTGACTTAGGAATGTCACATACAGAATATGGCTGAGTTAAACATGTTTGCTGGCGCTTATCCCTCCCCCATACCTGGGACAATGGTGTAATATTATAACATAAGAACAAACTTTAAAAATCAGTTGAGAAAGGCTTAACTCATTAGATCAATACAAAGCACACACAAATCTTAACAAAAACACAAAAGACCAGAAGTACAGATCTGAGAGTACTTACAGTTACTGATGGATGGTTCTTAATGAAATGAAATGTGCCTAATTTTTAGCAGGCTGCATGTAAATAACCATACCTGAATATAATCTCCAAGTGTTTTCTGTTGCAGGTCTTTGTTTACGAAGCAAGTTGGAGACATGTTTGCCTGAAAGACATAAAGTATGTATGTTTCAGTTAACAATCCCTCTTGAAAATTTTATGACAGACACACTAGATTTTTATCTTTGTCAATCCTGCAATTACGTCTACCCCTAATTTGAAAATTAAATTACCATGAAAGAAATTTTTGATTATTTTATTCCATTTAAAAAATGAAATACATTATTAACAAGAAAAAATACCTGCTCAGTTATTTATGTGTTTAAAAAAGTTAAATAAGACTAATAAGAGTCAATGAAAAATATTAATTTCTGGCCTAATATCTTATGTTATTTTGTTTTTTTTTTAATTGAAATCTGGAAGACAGGTTTTGTTGCAGGTAAATTGAAAAATGTTTTGTACAAATTGAAAATAGTTCAATTGAATGTTTCTCATTTCTATCCATCTTCAATGAAACTGTCTGTACCAAAAAAATACTGGTAATGAGCTGTTTACTTGTTTCTTATGTCTTGTGCACTAAACAAACAAGTACACCAAGGGCTGAATAGTACTTTAACCTATTTAATTCTAACCCAGATATCAGTGGACATAGTAGCAAAAGATCTTTTAAAAGAATAATTAACAAATGACAATAACATAAACTGACAGTTTAAATAGATTAAATGAGCAATGACAATGATGAAAATGCATATGGGCACTGAAGAAAACAAATCACATCATAAAGTATCTTACATCTTAATAACCTTTAACTATTGTTATTAACAGGAGTAGATCAGGAACAGAACATACATAAATTAGATTAAGCATATGTAAATTAAGACAATTTGTTGGTTAAACTGAAATCAATAGAAATTCTACCTTAAAGGGAGATAACTCTGTTTACAAAATTATATTATGTTTAGGCAGGCGCGTAGCTGCCTTTACGCAAAAAATCATTTGCTTGCACATTTTTTTCACCAAAAAAAAAATAATTCTGAAATTGAATTGACGTAAAGTCTTTAGTCTTTACAGATTATCGTGTCGGGCGGTGTTTAAAGCCCAAATCTTTGATGTCGTCTGTAGCAGTGACTAATAAGGAACTATATATCCTTCAATATTAGCAATCTTCTCAATTCTAATTACAATGCCAGTTACTACATCAACTACTGAACGGTCATTTAGTGCATTAAGGCGACCGAAAACGTATCTCCGTTCAACCATGGTACAGGACAGACTATCTTCGTTGGCGCTCATACATGTTCACAAAGAAATGGATATTAACACCGAGAGAGTTTTGCGATCATTTGCCTTGGCAAAAAATAGATATATGGACTTTCGATATTAACTATACTTTAAGTCTTACATGCAGTATTAACATTTAATAATACAGACTCAATACAATCACCTTGAAAACATCTTAGATTTATATCCCTTACTTATAAGTCAAGACTTAAAAGTGGCCGTTAGATTTCGTATTCCCATTGTCCGTTCGTCCAAAAGACTATTGATTCACCTAGGGTATCTGTGTCCCAAATGACCTTCTACCGTTGTCGTAGAAACCTCTCCTTTGATTTGAAAATGACCTTCGTGAGACACACTACGGGTGTCTTGCCAGAAGCAGAACTGCTTACCCTTTTGGAGCACCGGAAGTCGCCACATTGTTTTCTGGGTCCGTGTTTTTCATCTGTATTTAGTTTTCAATGTTGAATTTTTTTGTTTCTCCTTTTGTGTCTTATCTGTTCCCAGGTTTGTCAATTGTCCATAGATTAACGCTTCGGTTGTCGACTCTTCCTGATCTTCCCAGTTTATAAAAAAAAAATTATATTTGAAAATAACCATGTTAATAATATAAGCAGCAAATTACGGAACTCACTAGACTTTTACTATCGTTTAATGAAAATATGGTATAGTAAGAAACAGATAGGGTATTTTTCATGTTCAAAGCAGTCACTGTAATTACTCATATGCCCGGAGCTTCATGGGGATTCGCTTCCCTGGACCACCGTCTACGGTGCTGCCCTTGATCCCCGACTAGGGTGCTACCCTGGACCAGCTGGGGACTTTGAGCGATACATAGCCTCCTCCCTTGCCGAATCACTATAAAGTCCACAAATATTCACAAAAAAGGAGTTTGGGCGTGATTGTGATGTGAATTTCATAAGCATGGCATACCGGGAAAATGCCCGAAAAAAGTTATCATTTTCTGCATAAAATGGTCAAAAAAAAAAACGATAGTTATGATTGCACTTTATTTAAGTCCAGCTACGCCCCTGTTAGGAAAAAACAAATCTAGCTTTGCATTTTTTTCAAAAGGATTTCTTATACATTTGGCATGATGCATTCACAGTCACTTTATAGTTATGATTTGATAATGTCACTGATTTTTAGAAGATTTTGTGTTGTGGCATGCCAAATTTGAGCTAGAAATAAAAAAAGAATAAACTAATATCGTTTTTATTTTCGAAATACTATTAAACTAATATTCTTGAAATAGATGCATGTTAAATGATCTATTATATAAATAACACATAGCTGAGAGGGTGATAGAGCAGATTGTTACCCCGAGAAAACATTGTCAACTGAGGCGAAGCCAAGGTTGACAATGTCTTTTCGAGGGGTAACAATCTGCTCTATCACCCTCTCAGATATGTGTTATTTAATTTATTATACTGAATGTCCTGTTATTTCTGTCGATTAAATTTCAAATTCAAAGTAATAAACTATGACGTCTTGTACATAACAACCATCCTCATTTAATAAAGCGCACACTTGATCAAGCGTCTCCGTGAAGGGTAATAGAGTATTTGCCATAGGATAGAGTCGTATTTAATAAAGCGCACACTTGATCAAGCGTCTCCGTGAAGGGTAATAGAGTATTTACCATAGAATAGAAGAAATTAACACCCTCGTATAAGCCAATCAAAATATTGCATTTTTACGTGAAGTATAATAAAAATTATTATACCTCAGTATATTTTTTCTATATAACAAAGAATGAAATATTTGTGCTATTTCATTCCACAGACTATTTGCCAGTCAATAGTTTCAAAGACTATAACCCCGGTCAATAGTTTAATAAACACATCTCCCGTACTTTTTCATACTAATTTTTCATTGGACAACAATGACGTCATTGACTATTCTGCTTGGATTTGTGCGCTTGGCAACGTTAAACTCTGAAATATCGTAAACGGTATAATCTATATGTGTCTGTCGTCTAATTTCAAATTAATATATTACTTACCAGAAGCAATTAAAAAGAAAAAGAAAATCTACGTGACATATTTTAAGAACTAAAACATAACAAATGTATGGTATGGGTCTGTCGTCGTCTTCATAATCTGGGATTGCTTTGGTGTACGGTAATGTATTTTAGCCAGCGTTTGTTATATGCACGGGGATTTTTACACAAGGATTCCTAGTCTTGATTACAGTAAATAAAATATTGACAAATACCACACGTGCAAAAAAAAACAAAACCTGATAGTTCAATTTGTGCATGTTTAAGTGACTATTTATTTTTTTCGAAGTGGTGTATGTAGTCTTTATTTTTTTAGAAAGTTGTTTTGTTCGGTATAATAAAACACTTAATGACTGGTTATGAGTGTAATAGCAAGTTTGTTGTCCCTTCGATACTAACAATTGCCCTCGGCTTTGCCTCGAGCAATAGTTTGTATCTCAGGGACAACAAACTTGCTATTACCCTCGTAACCAGTCAATAGGTGTATACTATTATTTCAGAATTGTTTAAAATCATCATTACAAAACCAAATTTGGCATAAAATTTATTAGATGGTTCAATATAGATTGCCGTTAATTGATTTATGATAATCTTAGGATCACCCAATTTGTTTTTGATGTATCACTGACCCATTCTATACTTGATTCCTAGTTGAAAAAGCTGTTCAGCCTGGCAACATTGTGTTTGGGATATTTTTTTCAACCACAACTTCACTTTATCAACCAAACTTTATATTTTGTATACATGTACAACACAATTGATTCAGCAACCCATTTTGACTAGCTTTTTCACTGAATTTATGTGCATTCTATACAAATGTTTATCTTTTGTTAAGAATTTTAATTAATCATAATTAAAGCAAGAAAAAAACAATTGGTGAACATTTTTTTAGTTTGAGTTTAAGGCCAACATATTCTTGCAAAAGTCTGTAACAATATCTGTCTAATGTTTCTGGACGTTAATGTCTTCTATATGTACTACAATGTATGTGTAGTTGATTAAATTCATAGGAGGAATGGATACACATGCAAAAAAAAGCAATTATAATCTGTGAAACAAATATTTACCAGAATTTGTATTCAAATGTTACTTTTTTTTAAATTTTGATAAAGACCTTTCCTTTTTTAATTTAGCAGGTCTTATAAAAAGTTTAATGAAAATATTTGCTGAGTTCTGATAGGAAAATAGATTTTTTTGATTTTATGCAAGGAAAAAGGAATATTTACAGATGATATAATTATAGAGGGTTATTAAGCATCATAAAAAGACCATTACTTTAAATTTGTACATTTGATTTTCAACCCCTGTTTTTACTAAATGTTCAGTTATAATTGTGGACCATTCTATTTCTAAGACATAATTTTATATAATATTTTAATAGGTGGATATTTATATTAAAGAAGGGACACACTCAACAGCTGAGGAAAGTAAGTATTTTGTCCTTAAGACAATGATGACATAGCCATTCAATTGGCCAAAGTTTAGAGTCGATACAATTTCAAGGGGAGATAATTGTTTACATTATAATGAACATTCAATGTTTTGTAATTACCAGTTTTGTGTTAATGAGGTATAAGAATGAATCAAATCAGAGATCTGAAAATTAAAAGCAAGAAAATTGCACAAATTACACATCAAATAAATTACAAAAGGACTATTTTTGTTGTTCTCAAATGAAACAGTAGACCAGGGATTTCAAAAAATATATATCTGCGTCAGCAGGACATTTTTTTTTATTCTGATTTTAATCCTGTAACACTAAGTATCAAAAGGCAATCAGGGTTATAGTTTGGGCATCATAACAAAGATTGACATAAAATATGATATTTATCTTCAGACTTTCGGTATAAATTTGATGTTCTGACGGAAACTGTTATATTGATAGTGCATCATTCGAAATATGCAACATCAGGGTACTAACATCTGCTCTTTATTAATGCAAAATCCTGCTGTCAGAAACTTTACTTTATTTTTTAAAAAGCACATTTACCTTATACCAGATGTTGATTTGACAATGGTAAAACACGGACTAGAGATGGATACGTAAAAATCCATGTATGTTTTTAAAGCACAATTGAGTTAAACTAGTTCTTTCCAGGTTATTTCTTCAAGAAATACTTGAAATGAACGTAAGATAAAGGTAATCAGTAATATCTTTAGCATTTTTGAAGAATTCTGATGCATAATTAAATCTCACACATGTGCACAAGTGTACCAGTTCAAACAACATGGATCTGTCGAATTTTTCACTTTTCTATTTTAATACCTTTTTAAATATATCATAAAATCATATTTTAATACATATTCTGATAGGCTTAATCATTTTTACGAAATATATTAAATGCAAACCAGTAAAGTTTTAGAATTTTTTTTTTCGATGTCTGGTACAAAAAAGGTTACCTGTTACCTGAACAGGTATATGTCTTGAAATAGAACATTAGGGTAAAATGCATAAGTTGTCTTACCTATTGAAAACCATAATAGATGAAAAAATCTGACATGGGCAAAAATGCTCAAAATATCAAAGCTCCCTATTTCCAACAAAATTGTCAAATGACACCTTATAGAAGTTACTGGCCTTAAAAGACAAATTTTGATTAATTTCCATGTTTTTACACCTTTTATCTCAAAAACTAAATTAGATAGCAAGAAACCATTAACAGCAAAAATGATCACCAATATACAAAAATGAAAAATGACTTCTTATAGGAGTTATTGCCCTTAAGTGATGATTTTCTAACAATTTTTTGTGTTTTTGCCTATTATCTTGGAAACAGTAATAGTTAGATAGAAGTTCAAATGACATAAAAGATCAGCAGTACAAGATCAACAAAAAGTCATGGATTATATTTTAGTCTATAATGTTTGAGAGTGTCCCTTGTTGAAGATACACATAGGTGAGCTACACAGGCTCTTTAGAGCTTTTAGTCTTGTAATATTATCCATTAAAACTTGGAAATCTAAAAGATTTCTTGATAGGATATACCAGATATTATTTGGTAAGGAGATAGCCTCAAATAACAATAAACTAAACTGTAAAGAATAAGATTTCAAAATTGGCTTTGCTACTCAATTATCAAGAAAGTTAATAAGTTTATTTTTAATGTATATTGCATTTATGAAAATAAGGTAAAAAATGATGAGAGTTTGAGGAATTGATGCTATTTGAACTGAAATGATTATTTATTTGATATCATGCTGTTATTTATTTGTAATTTAAGTCTGGACAAATATTTGCATGCTCATGTCCTTCGATAACTTTATCAGTTTGTTATCATTTCAGAGATATCATTTTCTTCTATTCAAACTTTGAAATGATTTCAGCAGTACATTCATTGATAAAATGTTTGATGGGGGTACCATAGTTTTTTTTCTCTGTACAAGGTTGAATGTGCATAGTTGCACATATGCATTTCCAGTGTATACATTTGCTTTCGACATTAAACTGTAGTATATTTTGTAAAGGAAACATGGAAACAGAAAAAGTCAATTGAAAACAAAACTGACATAAGATATTTTTAAAAGAATCTGAAAACTGAAAAAAAATATCAACAAGAAAGTGGTAGAACTTAACCTTTACTATATATACATGAAAATTTAAGAAATTCTGACAATCAAAATAGGGAACACCATTACTAAAAATATAAAAAGAAGAATGTTAGCCTACAATCATAAAGTAAATTAATTCATTGTTAGGTCCTTGTCTTGAACTATGGATGATGCACAAATTGATTCCAATTATGATTAATATATTTTTATAATGCTTCATATCAAAGTCAGTGTTTTGCTTTCAGTAGATGTTTAAAAACCTTTCTTGCATTCTGCAGTAAAAAAAAACTCTCTTGATTAGAACAATTTCAAAATTATGCAGAATTCCAAAAACAACCACATTTTTGTGTAATAATAACTACCCAGATAAACCCTTGCAGTCACAAAAAGTGCAAATATGTGCATATTGATAATCTATATTTTAGCCTCATTAAAGGCATGTCTTTACGTATAAATTTCTTTGTTATCAGTAGAAATACTTTTATCAGTGTTTGACGTCACATTCAAATGGTAATGAATTCAGATAGTTTCAAATGACATTCATAGATACATATTTGGAATTCTTGTACATGCACCAATAACATTCCTAATGAACTGGAATAGCAAACATTGTCAAGGTATATGCCTTGAAATTTTGTCTGCATTGGGGGTACAAAATTGTTCCGGCTTTAGCTGAAGAGTTTTGAAGGAGATATAAACATGATAAAGCTATCAGAAAGATAACCTGAATTGTTGTTGTTAAAACATTACCCCCAAGACTTGTAGGAAAGTACTTTTTGTCAAGATTACACCTCCCCTGGTGAAAACAAATAATAGTTGACTTCACTGAACTTCAGGGAAATTCTTTGTTGGTAATAAAGAAATTGCATATTGATCCTCAAGATCTGTGGGGCTTATTACTTTACATAATGTTCTGAATTTCCATATTTATCTTTACAAGTACACAGTTAGTGCAACATTATAAATAATATGCATGCTCTTTTTCCATATTTATTTTTACAAGCCACAGTAAGTGAAACATTAATAAAAATGCGTGTACTTTTAAGAAAGACTATAAATCCAGTTTGGGATGGTATATAGGAATCAACTTTTCTATTCCTTAATCGTATTTATATTTGGAAATGTTTGTGTCAGAGCATCCAAAATATCAAATTGAAACTTAAAACAAAAAAAGAATAATATATTGAAATGGGTATAAAACAATTTACTTGTTTTCCTATTTCTTGATTAGGCTGACAATGGGAAGGGTATTATAAGGCAATTTTTTTGGCCCCTTGAATTCAAAAATCAAAAAGTATTATAAATTCACCAAATAACATCATTCAGATGTTTATAAGATGTCAATCTGCCTGACTTCAACATTTATATTTTGTAATTTTGTCTTTCATATTGGCTTCAAACTTCTAAACTTTAGTGCTAAACAGCCAAAACAGCCTCATTTTTATACGCCCGTCAAATTTTTGACGGGATTATACAAATGTCCGGCGTCCGTCCGTCTGTCCGTCCGTCTGTCTGTCCGTCTGTCTGTCTGTCTGTCCATCTGTCTGTCCGGTGTAAACATGTCGCACCGTAACTTGAGAATGACTTATCCAAATTTCATGAAACTTAACATAGTTGTTTCTTATGATGGTCAAACGATCTGTATACTTTTTGGTGAAAATAAGATTAAAACTTTTTGAGTTACGGGACTTAGTAACTAAAACAGGCGTGTGTTTTTTTTCACATGTCGCGCCGTATCTCAAAAACAATTTATGATTATTGCTTAAAACTTTACACACTTCTTAGTTATATTAATCTTAAGATCTGTATACTTTTTGGTGATGATTCAAAATTTTATTTTAGAGATATTGAGTATTTTGTTAAAAAAGAGGGAGGGGTTTTTCACATGTCGCGCCGTATCTCAAAAACAGTTTATGATTATTGCTTAAAACTTTACACACTTCTTAGTTATATTAACCTTAAGATCTGTATACTTTTTGGTGATGATTCAAAATTTTATTTTTGAGTTATTGAGTATTTTGTAAAAAAAGGGGGAGGGGTTTTTGACATGTCGCGCCGTATCTCTAAAACGATTTATGATTATTGCTTAAAATTTTACACACTTCTTAGTTATATTAATCTAAAGATCTGTATACTTTTTGGTTTTGATTCAAAATTTTATTTTAGAGATATTGAGTTTTTTGTAAAAAAAAAAAGGGGGTTTTCGCATGTCACGCCGTATGTCAGAAACTATTTATGCTTATTGCATAAAAATTCACACACAAGACAACGGGTGTATCATGCGCTCATGGCGCAGCTGTTTATTCTATCTTGTCATTAATATTTAGATATGAGCAACAGCTTTATTTTGCTACATAATGTATTTAACAAATATGTTGAATGTGTGTAAAATATTTTTTTTCGGTAAAGCTGTTGCTGATATATATTTTGATCAAATATATGCGGGAGATGGTCATTTAAGGTCAAAAACATAAATTTTGACATGATTATGACATCCTAGTGAATTTAAAAGTGACCTTTCTGACCCTAAGAGTCCAGATTAACTTAACCTATTGGTTTATCATTAAAATAAACATACTTGCAAATGGCTTGAATAAGTTTACTATTTTTGCAAATTCAGGGGCCAAATAATGTCTCTTATACCTCTTCCTTGTTCTGATTCAGGGCAATTCTTATCAATTATTTGATGGATTTCAATGATATTTTACACAAAGGTAGTACATCTTACAAATATGTGCATGAAGCAAAATAACACCATACTTCATCTTACCGTAAGCAAGAGAAAACGTGATTCACAGTAACTTTTTATATGCATATTCAATATTTGTAATTAGTTTTTGTAATTGACTTCTCAAGTACTATTTTGCAATTCTACAGTCATTTTTGATGTTTTAAATCTTTCTTTTTCAGTTAATAAACAGATTAATGATAAAGAGAGAATAGCTGCTGCAATGGAAAATCCAAATCTTCGTCAGTTGGTTGACAAATGTATTGCAGATGAGTGATAACAGGAGATGATGATTTCATTGAACTTTTTACTCAGGAATTGTGCCATCTTCAAAAGTTGTAGATGTTGGGTATTGTTATTCTCCAAAGCATTTCATGATAGAAGTTTTGATAATTTAATTATATGTGATTTTGTATTTTGTGATCTCAGAATGGTTAATGGCAATGTCTTTTCTCATCATCAAGTCCCAGATAGTGATTAATATTTATTCAGTCAATTAGCCAGTGGTTTATGAAACCTGGGTTATGAAAAAGTCTTTAGAACGACTTTTACAGGGAGATAATAATATAGACGTGTCTTATGTTTATAATTACATGTTAATATGATTTAGGGTGTTTTCTTTTAATTTTTTATTGATCTTTTTATATTCATATATATTTGTTTGTTTGATCCTTTTAAACTATGTATGAAAATTTATATATATAAAAAATTTTAATTGTTAACAAAAATTTCGTTCCTGTACAATCCTAATCCTGTATTTGAAGATAGCTGCTGCCACTAGTAAATTTCTACTTTGTTGATTGTTGTCAAATGCATATAAATTAGTTCTTATGATATGTTGTAATGCTTACAATAATTTTACCTTGTAGGTTTCTTAAATCGACTAATTTGAAGCAAAGGTCCTTCAGAGTAATGAATATTTTTTTTTTAATTGACCAAGGTGGCTGAATGGTTGAAGTAGTTCATCTACTGTATCACTAGCCTGTCAACACTGAGGCTGTGAGTTCGAACCCCACATGTGGCAGGTGCTTTCGACTCCGATCTTAAGTGACTATGATTGCCAATTTTCCTGCCAAAGGCTGATAGTTCTCTCCAGGGCCTCTGTCTTCCTTCATCATTTAAAATGAACCGTCAATATATCTAATAGTGCTGAAAGAGTAGTTTAACACCAACAATCAAACAATCAATCTTCATTTGCCCTTTTGAAATACTTGAAAGCATGCCTACATTGCATTCTAGCAAATTGAATGTGATATTTTCTGGTATTTAAACATTTTAGAACATTTTGCATTTATTGCAGTATGTGAGAGGTCTTCACTGTGCATACTCCAAAATCTTACTAATGATTTATACCAGTAATATCTTAATTTGAAGGTTTTGATTTTAATATGTATATGTTGGCTTACATTATAATTTCACTGTTATGAATATTATGGCTCAGGAAAAGAGTAGTATTTGTGAATGTTAGTCACAAAAAAGATGTATTCCAAATAAAACAAAATTAACAAATTGTGTGAAAAACAGTTAAACATGAGGTTATTATTCTCAAACTCAGCCATTCCACACATAGTTTGAAGTAATTATATCATATTCACCGTTAGAAATTTTGAACTTAGAAACTCATGTTTCGTTGTGTTACATTTTTGAACACTGGAAAAAAATGCAAGATTAACTATTTTAAATTGAAAAAATGTTTCATACAAATAAGGCAATCAAACTGTAAAATGCGATATTTTATTTTCTCTAAACTTATGCCATTGCAATTTATATGATGGTAAAAACAACACAAAAATGTCTTTTTGCAATATTAAGTCTAATTTCCAGTTTTATTGGAATTATTTTTATGATATGATTTTTTAAATAAAAGTTATGATGTTATATTATTATCTTTAAGTTATTACACTAGCAATAAGTTATTATTTTTTTTTTAATTAAAGCAACAAAAAAACCAACATGAAAATGAAAAATACATGAATAAAAAAAAACAGTCACCTTTAAATACAGTTTTCATAATAAGATTCCAGCTTTTGTCTGTTGACAATTTCATATATTTATTAAAAATTAACTATTAGTTTCTGAATTTTTTGTATTACATGGAAATTCATACAAGAATGATATACACAATATATAAAACAAAAACAAAAATGAAAATAATGTATTGTACAAAACAAATGTATTATCAAAAGTTAATTTATATGTATAGGTATACAAAATTAAAGAAAGTGATCTATTAATGTTATTACTTATTCCATGTACATACTAGTATTATATGATAAATTCTGATAGTATCACAGTGTGTAAGAAGCTGTATATGTATGTTAAGTATTGTTGATCTAAATATTTCTGTAGTGTTTCAGTGGTCTGCAGGTTTGGTTTTGTTTCGCTGAACAAAACATTGCAAGTCCCACTTGGGACGCTAATTTTAAGACTCTCAAGGATTATCTTCTTTGCTTATCCCTTGGACCTTGATGATTTTACAAACATTAAATCAATCTGTGCAAAGTTAAGCTGAGATTAATCAAAAACAAAAGTGGTGTATTCTCTACATTCAATAGAGAGTTGGGGCCAATTTAGTCCGTTTTTTATGCCCCACCTAGGGGCATTATGTTTTTTGGTCTGTCCATTCATCCGTCCATTCGTCCGTCTGTCCCGCTTCAGGTTAAAGTTTTTGGTCAATGTAGTTTTTGATGAAGTTGAAGTCCAATCAACTTGAAACTTAGTACACATGTTCCCTATGATATGATCTTTCTAATTTTAATGCCAAATTAGAATTTTGACCCCAGATTCACGGTCCACTGAACATAGAAAATGATAGTGCCAGTGGGGCAGCCATGTACTATGGACACATTCTTGGTTTTTTTCACACCAGTACCATTTTCAAAAAGTCTATCAATCTGTACATAAGTTCATAGTAGCATAGCCCAGTGTGTGTACTTTAAGGTTCTTACAGTATAATGTCTAATTTCTAAACATATTTTAAGTATATGGTGCAGACTCTTAATTCCTCTAGGATTTGAAAAATTTTACGAGTGAAAATGATACTTGGAAATTGGCCTTACCTCTTTTAAACACAACAACTATAAAAGCTGTCATAGGTTACTGAAATTCGTCATTGGTATGGCATAACAAAAGGAGAAGAGATAATTTTCCCCCAAATTTTTGAAGAAGGAGGAGAAGCAAGACTGGCACTTTGAGCAAAAATCATCATCAAGACGACACTCAAATAAGTCAACTTGAACAACATTGTCAAATCTTCTTGAAGGAGTGTAATATTACCCTTAAATGACCATTTTAACCCATTATTTTTTATATTTTCATGAAAAATATTATTGAAAAGAGGATAGAGTCAAAAGGTTCAGCTAGATAAGATGTAAAAAAAAGCAAACATAACTGATTGCAATAAAGGTGAAATAAATATCAAAATGGAATATAGTTTCCATGTGAGTGATTTATGCTGTGATGAATCTATTATGATATGGCTTTAATCAACTTTAAAAATTGGATCAAAGGACTCAATTTTGCCCCTTATAGCAACCACTTAACTAATTGAAACCAGACTTGTAAGCAATTTTAATGAAGGTACTTCACAAGTGCTATTACATTTCAAAATGGCCACAAGCAGAGGGCTAGTTGGATTTTAACATGATGAACAGATAAAATGAATGGAACACAAATTCTGCAGAAATATACTTACTAAGTGTTGTTACTTTGGTCCTGATAAAAAGTCAGTGTGGGCCGAATGCAAGCCTGAATATGCATGAAATAACTGCCACTGGACATTAAGAAAGCAACAATTAATCAACCAATAAATGAGGCAAATAAGGGTAAAATTGATCAGATTTTAAAATATCCTTTCCTGAAGATCTACTGATCCATTGAAATGAAATTTGCCAAGGATGTTCCTGTAAAGTTCATTGACAAGTAATTTTACCTAGGTATATTCCTGTGATGGTCTTTTACAAGAATTGTCATTTAAATGCCATTCGGAAATTCAATATGCTATCCAATGGAGGTCACATTTTACACTGAAACCAAATGAAAAAAAAACATGTTTCTCTTTTCAAGAACTGATTAAATGACATAAAATCAGAACATCAAGAAAGTACCTACCAAGTGTTTCTTTGGAGCACCTGAGAACATCCTCAGTTTTTGGTGAGGTCCGTGTTGCTCAGTCTTTAGTTTTCCATGTTGTGTTTTATGTAATGTTGTTTCTCTTTTCGTCGTTTTTTCGTTTTTTTTACCATTACAGTGTCAGTTTGTTTTCGATTTATGAGTTTGAATATCCCTTTGGTATCTTTCGCATCTCTTTGGACCTGATGAAAATATTGATATGGCTATAAGGTTCCAAATGGCGTATATTGATCTAATTTTAAAGAGCATCTTCAGATGAAGAGTAATTAAAGCAAACCAAGCAGAAAGGTCAGAGGATTCAGCTTCCAGTGAGCCTCTAATATTTTGTTATTGTTATGGTTTTGGTTTTGTTGTTTTTGTTATGTTTTGCCCATCAAGTCCGATAAAAGGACAGAAGACGTCAGAGCAATCTCGGACTACCTTGAAGTGGATGAATCAATCAGATCCACGTGTCTGCTATTAGTCTGAAATCCTGACCTAACCTCTGCTTCGTGTTGGCTTCTTCCGAGCATTGATCCAAGCTCCCAGAGTAGAGTAATCTAAAATGGTCAACTGTCCAAACAAATTTTGCCTTTTGGCATCAATCCAGTTATATATATCATGGGAAAAACAACTCCACGTTTCCTAGCTGTAAATAGTCGATGAGACAATATTTATGCGAAAAAAGCGAAAGTCTATCACGTTTCTAGAACAGGTTACCCAAATGTTACCGACCTACTAAACTTTTGTATGAAAAGATATACTAGTAAATTTATAATTGGGGATTTGTTCCTTTTAACATATGTAATGACAACCCAATTATTTTAATGTTGACCACCCGCCTATCAAGGCCGTTGACATGTTCATCAGGTTAAATTCTTGAGGAAACTAGTTAGGATTTTACAAACAATTTTTCATCGAACAAGATTTCATTCAATGTGCTTCGACGCCAAATAACAGATTATCTGTATTAATATATTAAAGCTGGAACTTTACCAAGAACAAATGAATGTTCTTCATAATAGGGTCTCTCAAGCTGGAACTTTACCAAGAACAAATGAATGTTCTTCATAATAGGGTCTCTCAAGCTGGAACTTTACCAAGAACAAATGAATGTTCTTCATAATAGGGTCTCTCAAGCTGGAACTTTACCAAGGACAAATGAATGTTCTTCCTAATAGGGTCCCTCGAGTGGTAAATAATTAAATGTTCCAGATGAAGTCCACTTCTACCCGTCATGGACAATCAAAACTATTATTCATTGCGATGAGGTAACAATGAATCTATAAAAAAAATATCGCTATACAGAAAAGATGAATAAATGAAATCCGAAACATGTAGAGTATGAGACATGTCTCTTGTGTAATATAATATGTATTGAAATGGTCATATGCTAGAACATAAATATGTTTTAAAAAGAAGTTCAGTTTTGAATATAATCGATTTGTCTTGAAAATATATAGTGATACTGACCAAACTTCCAGCACGGACCGAAGCTCATAAGGGAGCTACCATTTGATTTTTATGGGGGCTAGGATGAAAAATTTTGTCCTGCATTTTTTTGTAGTTGTAATCTCTGCCCTGCCTTTTTATTTTTCACTCTATTCGGTCCTGCCTTTTTTTTTTTATTAATTTATCCTTACTTTTTTAACATAAATTGTCATCCTGTCTTCTTTTTTTGCCAAGTCGCTCATCTTGCCTTCTTTTTTACTCAAAACTCCTGCCCTGCCTTTTTTTCAAATTTCATCCTAGCCCCCCCCCCCCCCCCCCCCCCCCCTAAAAATTAAATGGTAGCTCCCTAAACTCATCAATTCATCAATTAATGTAAACGCAAATCTACAGGAATATTCGTAGAGCCGGTAATCTTGCTTCAGAAGTTGGGTACTGACCTGATATACACTGATAGGTTTATTTAACCTCAAGTGCTTCTTTCTAAGTGAAAGTCTTGTAACAATACTTTGAAAACTTTAGACATATATATCACGTAATCGATTTTTTTTTTCCGGAAATTTTCCCACTGAAATCAAAGACTATACCTATGTATAATTGGAAGTTGAAAATATAGAATGAAAGACGTTTAGTTCCCGACAACACATAAAACTAGACAACACGATAATAAAGATGGAAGAAACACAAGCAGAGACATTATATTATTTTGTTGTTATTAAAAACATGACTGTTTATAATAATAGTTAGAATTGGATATCGCTTGATATCAATTGGAGTTATTTAATTTAATTTCAATATAATAAGAAACGCCGGAGCCTTCGGCGAGTTTGTTATTACTATTTAAATTAAATAACGATATTTGACATCAAGCAATATTCAATTCTGACGAGTTGAGAAACCTATCTCTCTTATGGTAAACATTTTCTTTGTGTTCAATAGAAATTCCGCGGCTTGTTGGTCTAGTCTATTACAGATACCCAAATGTCTTCAAACTTAAACATAAGACTTTTCAAAACTTTTTGCACGCTTCAGAATGTAATAAAATTTGACAAAAAAACAAATGTTCATGTGAAAAGTGAGAGGGTTTTGTATTTTATCGAACAAATCACATACAATTTTTGTATCACTTATTCGTATTACACTCCGTGCGGTATGATGCGAGAAATAGATAACAGGCCACAACCATAAGAGAATAGAAGTTAAGAGATAAAATGTTACGTAACTTTGCCGGATTCTGAAGGTGTCTTACGCATTGGTAGGAACGTTAGGAAACTGCATGCAAAGGTCACAAATTCACATCACCTTTCGTTTGGTTTTCACAATCGAATCTACACTAAGGATCACTAAGGACAAACATATTTTTCACTCAAGAGCTGTGAACCAGATCGTTGAACAACTATCAGCGACATTAACATATATTGGTATTATACGTCTTTGCAACTATATATGCCACAAGATATGGCGAAGTTTGTGTTGTGTTACAAATGTGTGATACACTCCAAAACTTCATTCAGATTAAATTTGAAATCGAAAGGCACGATGCCGTTAGGTATTTTAAAACCGTTGACTTTCCATAGACAAAATGCCTATCGACTTTAGTAGATATGGGGGAAGTTCGTGATTTGCTATGGGAATAACTTAAAATCGTTTAGATTAAAAAAAAACAACAACAAGA